TCTGATTCACGCAACCCCGAGACTCCCGTTCGTGTGATCTGATTTGTTCGTGTGCTGTGTACGACAATCCAGAAGATCAGCCAGATCGTCATATATTTTAAGCCGTAAGTTCTCTACGTTAAACCTTTAGATCTACTGCGCATAGGTTTACGTTCACTATTGAATTCGTGATTTGTGTATAATGAAATCCTCACAGATCCCAACAAATCCAAGTTCTATTTACTACTTTCTTAGTTACTTTTTTTTTATGCATTTTTAGATTTTTCTTTTCAATTTATTGTGGTTTTGGTATTTTTTGGTTGTGTTGATAGGTACCAGTTCACGGTTTATAGTGGGTGATTGATGTTCATAGGGTTGATTATTCTTGACGCTGACTCTTCTATCACGACAAATCCCAAGTTTGCATTTTCATACTCTTTTGTCTATTTCAAGTTGTTTCCATCATATGTGCTTTTTTATGTTGTTTTTCTTTTGAGTTTTTTGTTCTTCTGTCGCTGTCAGTACTTGTTCATGATATGAAATTACAAAGTTCTTTTATTTACTCTCTGGTTATTTGTTCAAGCAATGAAGATATTGCTTCATTTTAAGTGTGGGAGAGGTTTATTTGGATTTTGCATGCTTATGTGATGGATCGATCTAGTTGTTTTAGATTTTAATTTTTGATTTATTTTCATTTACTTGGTGGACCGATCTAGTTTTTAGGATTTTATGTGCTTTGTGTTGACTCTCGTACATTGTATGATGTTTGGTCGATATTGTTATCTTGATGATTGGAAAAACGTTTTTATTCATTTTGAATGTCATTTTGTGTGTGAATTAGTGAATTGAATCCTGGTGTTCTAAGTCGCTTGATGATTTGTTGGTATGAGACACATAGCATAGGTTAGTTGTTTGGTTTGTCCTTTGTGATAGCCTGATTGGTCAATGCTATAAGTGAGTTTTCTTTGACTTGTCTTTTTTGAGCTTCCCCCCTGAAAAAATCAAAAGCTCATGGGAGCCGAAAGTAATATACTCCAAGTGCTCAGATCAATACTTATAGAAATTTAGAGTAATGAGTACAGAAAGCCGGTCTAGGAGACTTGGGCCTAATACCCGATGGATAAACCTAGATAAGATGTTCAAGAGGCTCCCGCTCTGAAAAAGTGCTTAAAAATAATTAAAATAAAAATAAATAAATAGAGAAATAAAATTATAGAATTTGTGTGAGTTGGAAGGATTATGCTCATATCACCTTGTGAATGTGGCGATGAGCACGAGAAATCGGTTTAGAAAAATCGGGGACATCCCTTGATGGTTAAATTTAGATAATAATATTTCGAAGACTTACATAGAAAAGTTTGTCTTGTAATAAAAAAAAAATAAAAATAAAAAAGAATAAAAGAAGGGTATCGAACTCATTTGGATACACTAGTAAAAAGAGCTTCTGTCGAGTAAGTTATGCGTGGAATAACTCGGGACTATCGTTTCGTTTTATATGACCTCATGTTGGAACATACTTACAAATAGGATTGTGGCTATAATAATATTATCGGGTGGATAAGAGATTTACACAGATTATGACATTAAGAAAAGAGTTTAATTGTCTTTCTTTCTGAACGGAGTGAAATGTTATTTGCTTGAGGACAAGCAAAATGCTAAGTGTGAGGAAGTTGTTGTATATGTTTATGTTATTATGTTTTTGTGTTTTTATGGTCTTCTATTGAGTTCATTCGAGCTCGTTTCATAGATTTTTCGGTTCATTAGGTTGATTTTGCTTATTTATGTGTTTTTTTGTACTATTTGTGTATTTTGCGTATTTTTCGTCTACTTTTATATTTCATTAGTGTAGGAATATGTGATCCAATTATGCTTGACGTCGCCAACAATGTGCCGAGAAACTCGTTGGAAAACCCGCTGTAAAACTCACTAGAAAATTCCCAGCTAGTCGACCAAGCAAGTGTCTGATGGGCCCGCGGCCACACATCGAGCACAACCGTGGCTCGGCCACGCACACGCACGCGCCCCAACGCGTCCGTGCTGACGTGGGCCCAGGGCTCGCAGCGTCACCCAACAAACCTCGCTGGACCCCGTCGGACCTCGCAATTGCGGCAACCCATCGCCTAGACCCCATGCTCGCGCGCCCCGACGCCCACGCCTAGTTGCCCGTCACCCAGGCCTCGTTCCCGCGCTCGTGTGCGTGTCTGCAGTCGCCCTGCCGAGCCTGCACGCTACACCTCGCGCCCGCGATCGAGCTTTTACGAAAATGTATCTAAATGCATTTTTTGGCACGTTTAAACCGGTATTTATGGGGACTCGTGTCTAACCTGGAAAATCATCTTGGAAAATATGAATAACATTCTAGGACCTATTCTAAGGCTCCCGGACACCAAAAAAAACTCTTGTCCGTTTTTTCGTTCACTCGTGTTTGATTTGTTGGGGCCAAATACATTGAGATTGAACTCTTGCAATTCCTAAACCAATTGTAAGTTTTTATCTTCAAAATTTTATTCGACTTGGTGTTTCTTGCATTAGATTAACGTGAATTTGAATTTAAACATGAGGTAATTCTTCTACCTAGAGCTAGGGATTTCAATTCTCGTTTTGAATTTTTGTTGAATGTGTGATGTTCATACCTATTCGAATTACTTGATTAAATTGATTAGTTGATAAGGGCGGACGCAGACTTTAAGGACAACGGGGGCACAAACTACGGTCAACGGTCAAATCAATATTTAACCAATTAAAAAAATAAAAATATTAAATCTTGACCAGACACTTTTTTTTTCTTATTTAATAGCTAGGGTTGAGTACCACATTCTCATTTCAAGAATAGGGATACATTTGATCCAATCCCTATATAGTATATACATTTATGCATAATATTTGTTTTTTTATTAATTTTGGGAGAGAAAAATAAATAAATAAGAAGTTGAGTATAGCATAATCATAAATTCCACAACTTAAAAAATGACATACTATTGAAGGTTAAATAATCTTAAATGTTTCCTTTTTATATTTTTATATTGAAATAACTTTGCATAATAATTAATAACTTGTATTTTTTCATGTCAATATAATAATACAGTTATAAATATAATATATATATATATATATACTCTATTCTAAAAATTCTACAGGGGTCCGTTCCCCTACGAGCCCTATGTAGATCCGCCTATGATGATTGATCACCATTTAGTTTAAATAGATAACCTAGAATTCAGAAGGAGATAGGGTATCCAATCATGGTCTGAATAGTGTAGACGTGTACGTAATTGTATCGTCTATGGATTATTTAACAAAAGTATGTGTTTATCTATGTCCGAACTTGTGTTCATAAAAGTATCGGGGATAGGCCTCTAGGCTTGTGCGTATGCTTTAACTTGTTCGTTTATTTTCAATCCCTTGTTGCGAGAGTAATTGGGAATAAACCGCTAGGAGGTTAGGTAAGGGTCCTAGTTTATAAACATAACAATAATTCGTTTGATATAGATTTAAGACTTGAAGTGTTGAATCCCGACGCCTTAGAATTTCTTCTACTAAACTAGCGATTTTATTGTTTTCCTTTATTATTCTAGATAGTTTTTAGATAATTTTCCAATTAGGCGACTAGAATGTTTAGGTTCTTATTTTAATTTCCTTTGTGATCAAAGCAAATTCTAGATTCCAAACCGCCTTCCTCAAGAGATCCACCCAAGGTCGGTATTCATCTCGTACTCGGTAATAAAACAAAATTTACTACAACAGAGGGTTGTTCGGACCAGATAGTAAGGGACCCGGTCAAACTGGCCTTGATTCGGTCGACCCGGGTATTTACTTAGCCGGTTCAACTCGATTTGAATCAACCTAGAAGTATTTTTTTTTCCTTACATTTTTATTTTTAAAAATAAAATTATGTATATATATTTATGTGGTAAATGTTTATGACAAAATGCAATATGATTAAGAATTCGGGGTACAACATTTACATTATTTTATGTATAGTTATAAGATAAAAATAACATAAATATAATTAAAAATTTCGTAAAATTAATTATCCGGTTTAGCAACTGACCCAACGACTCGACAGTTGAACCGATAATCCGAAGTCCAGCCCCAGTCAATCACCCGTCCGGTTTTCAAACGATGAGCCATGGGGGCAGGAATCGTAAAAANAGTTGCATCTGGGAAATATATAAATACGTGGACATGATGCATCAATTTCCTGACCAAAAAAAAAAAATTGCATGCATGTGAAAAAAAAAATGTCAGATTCAGGAAACTTAAACACCCATGTAAGAAAAGCTCGCTGACAACAATGTATGCTTATAGCAGCTGTTTTGCATTATTAGTATTCCTGATGCAGAAATTTGGTACAAGGTAAATGTACCAACTCCTGCATTGTCTACACATTCTTGAACTACACAATCTCACGATATATATGCTAATAAACTGATATTTTGTAACACAATCATGATGTGAGTTAGTGTACGTGGTCAAGAGAAAGTGTGTGCTTTGTTTCTTGTTGCCAATATATTTGCACCAATTGCCACGAGCGCTTGGTTTTATGATTTATCCCCTCTTTTTCTGGTTATTAAATACAATTTCTATGCTGTACTTGTTCGTCCAAGGTTTTACCACACATTTTAAGCACCAAGTTAGTAAGAAAATTCACTTCTAGTTTTACTATGGAGCCATCAAGGTTTAACCACACATTTTAAGCACCAAGTTAGTAAGAAAATTCACTTCTAGTTTTACTATGGAGCCATCAAGGTTTAACCACACATTTTAAGCACCAAGTTAGTAAGAAAATTCACTTCTAGTTTTACTATGGAACCATCAAATAGCACGACTTATGGAGCCATCTAGTGTATTGACACATGTCTTACAATAAAAAAATAGACATTGAATGGCTCCATAAGAAAACCATCCAATACCTCCATAGAATTTCTGACTTCACTTTCATCACCAAAAAAATATAAGTACTAATCTTACGAATTCAGTGTCAGCTAATGTGGACATATAAGCACACTAAACTGAATAATTAGGCATTTCTTTATACAAGTCAGATAAAATACGGATACATAAACACATCAAAATGAAACACAAACAGAAAAGAAAGAAAACAAAGGCATCCAAACAGCTAACTCCATAAATATACCCCAAAAAACAGACTCCATAAATATACCCCAAAAAACAGAGTGGATCCAAGTCTTTGAAGTCCTATATCTCGAAATAGCAGAGCTACAAAATTCACGCAATAAAGAAAACATTTTTTGTAATGATTTGATTACCAGAAATCTCAAAATTCAACGAAACAGAGTTTAGGCAAAACCGATTGACGCGGAAAACTTAGTTCATCCTCCGAATGAGTTCATTAATGTAATCTTCCCGATTACCGGCATCACCACCCTCAACATAATGGTTCCTCTTCTTCTTCAATCCACCCAAAGGAGCCTTCAGTTGGAATGGCCACAGGAAGTTGTTAGCTTCCTTGAAGTGGGGTCCCACAGTCAGAATCTCATGAATAAGATCCTCCATGCAGATAATGCCATGCTTGCCCAAAGTCTGTTGCAAAATAACCATATGTAAACATAGACAAAGATAATATATAAATTTAAAAGAAAGAGCAGAATTTGATTTCATATTAAACTGAAAAACATAATGTAACCTGCTCAATGATTGAATTATCAGTCAAAGCAATCCTCTGCTTGTTCACTTTTCCATAGCCACGCTTGTAGATTAACTCCTTTACGCTCTTAAGGTTGGGGTATCTGAAAAGTTCATCGTGTCGACAATTTTCAGATGGTTTATTTTAACCAAAAAGTATAATTATGCAGGTTCGTTGCTATCTTACCCATAAGTGACATAAGGCTCAACCCGGTGCAGCATGTTCACTGTGGCTTTGTTTACTTTCAAGAAGACACCATTGAAGATCTATACGAGTGTCAATTAGAAACCAAATTAATAAAATACATGAGATGAAATAGGATTGTTTTTGTCCCTAGAGCCAGAAAAAATAATAAGGGAAACTCGAAACAGAAGCATGAAGACCTAAATCTCATTGAAACAAATTTATCGAGGGGCAACATGTCCAGATAAACATTTATGAAGGATATCTGAAAGTTCAGCCATTATATTTTCATCCAAGAACAACTTTAGCTTTGTGGAGGGGAAAAGGTTTAGAACAAGGAACTTTAATTCAGGTGAAAACATGTCCATGATGCCAAAAAAGGATAAATAAACTTAATTCTGGAATCTACCAGGAATATGCATATGTCAACATATGAGGAAAATAATTTAATGACAAGTGATACAAAATGTAAATCGTAACAAGCATCCACGCCCCATGGACTCTTAGCAACAAGATGAAAACAACTAATATCAAACAGGATTACTCTATAACAGTTGCACCTGATACCTGTCTCAATCTCAGAAGCTGAAGAATTTTCTTGGTTCTTGGGTGCATAGCATTGATACTGAAATTACATAAAGATCAAGTAAATAAAAATTCTTCCCACACATTGAGCTGGATGCATACACTGAGAAGCAAGCAAAAAGCTTACCCACGGATCCTGATGATGAACAAAAGTTTGGCTTCTGGGTTCACATAAAACCCACCTTTCAATCTAGCTTCACGCTTCAATTGGATCAACTCCTTCTCCTAGAAGACAAATTACNAAAAAAAAAAAAGGAACTAGTGAATGATGAACTACAAGGAAAAAACAAATTGGCCTGTCTTTGATTTTAAAGGCAAAGATAATTCAAGTTAACCTGTTGCTCATACTCCTTTGCGTACTCTCTTGCTTTATTGCAAATCAATTTTCTGGTCACAGCTTGCTTCTTCTTTGCCTCATCAACTTCTTTTGACTTGGCAAGGGCCCACTCCTCAGCCCTCTTCTGCTTCTTCACAAGTGACTCTGGAACTATAACATAGCCTTTACCAGCCTCAGCCATAGCTAATCTGGGCTAGGGTACAAGCCAAAACCAAAATTATTAACTATCCCGTTGCAAAATTTATTTTACACTTTACAAGGAACAACACAACACAACAGATCAATATGTATCCAACTGATTAGTCCAAAATCCAACAATGCTGTCACTTATTGTAGCATAAAGCTATACATCGCAATTCACCGGAACCCCTCATATACACGAACTAATATCCTCTTTCATGGACTAGACATAAGTATCCATTTTTTCAGTACCTATCTTTTGCAAGATTCTGGCAAATAAATATAAACACAAATGACACTCAAGAAATGATTTTATGATTCTTCTACTCACGCTGTTCATTTATATCTAAAACACGTGAGAATTGATTACTGCCGATGACTAAACTTTACAAACAAAACAAGTACATAGTCATTATGTTCAAGTATAAAATTGCAGATTACCTAACATGAAGGAAATGTAAAAACGGACCAAATCAAAGACAGGAAAACTTTTCTCTGAGCATTCCCTTTATCACTTTTGTTTGTTCTGCTTTGCTCAAGTCCCTTGTTCGATTTAATAACCAGTAATACCCACCATAATGAAACCCAGTACCAAATGCATTATCATATAGCACTAAACGATCTTAAAACAACATAATCACAAAACCTCATACTCATCAACAGCAGCTCAAATAACAACCAATGATGAATTTACCAATCAAAAACACACAGAAAACAAAATCACCATGGATATAAACACTTACAGGATTCTAAGCACCTCAAGTAGAGACTTGTGTTCGGAGTTCTTGCTGTAAGTGAGAGGCTCTGAAGTCTGACCTCCGCAAACCCTAGTTCATTTATACTGGCATAGCGGAATGGCAGGACCTTAGTTGGGCTTGTTAAAATATGGCCCAAGTCAATCTACATATCGCTTCACTTAAAATATGGCCCAAGTCCATTTGGAAGAAATGTCTCCAAGCCACGCATCCATGATCCTTGTTCCTTTATTAGTATGTTATAAGATATTGGCTGTTTAACATATTCACTATACTTTTTTAATTTTTTTGTTAAAATACAACATTCAAAATAAAATAATACATAAATTATGAATAAATTAGTCATAAATGAAAAAATATTGCAATTTAAAAATAATTGATAAAAATAAAACACAAATCAGCCATTTACAAATTGTAAAAATTAGTATATTTCTAATTAAAATATAAACTTCATAAATGTAAAAATAAAATGAGATTTAAAGGTAAATGGTGTAATTATCCTTGAGATGCTTTAGAATAAAAATTGAAAAATAATAGTAATGGTATCTCAATATACGGGTTGGGTTCAAGTGAGAAAGGTGTTTAGTGAAAGAAATGAGAGTAAATTTTAGTCATCAGATCGAATGATCCAATGGTAACAAAAAATTCAGCATTTATATATTCATTAAAGGTATATAGGACATTTTATTACCGGGAAAATTCCATTAGAGGACTCAATATTTGGGTATTATATCATGTTAAGGCTCCAATTAATATCTTTTTCAATACATGATCTCAATTTTTATATATTCTCAGGCTCATATTTATCTTTTAATTCTTAAATTAAGGCTTATTCTTAACTCTGTTAGCTAACATTTAAATTAGATATGATATTATTTTTTTATTTTTTTTTTGCAAAAAAAAGAAGCGCATCTTATTCCTCTCAATTTCAATCGCGATACTCTTAAAACATCCGATTGCAAGTAAAGGAAGGAAGCTCACGTAAATCCTTCCGAAATCAAAACGAGCGATCAGTTGAACTTCAAATTGTATAAGGTATGTATTTCATATCACAATTTCTATTTTTTTCTGTTTTGCAATTTTTAACTTTAATTTTTTTTTATGGGGAACAATAAACTCGTGATTTCGTGCTGGTGGCCGAGCTGATGAGGCACACGGCCAACATGAATGCCATCTCGTGGGCCCAGTAGAGCCTGCAGGCCCATATGCTCCGCATGGGACGACGAGCAGGCCCTGTTGTGGGAGCTTCCCACAGTTGCCGGGCCCAACAGGATTGACTCGATGCTGGTGTAGTTGGTGGGTGCCGAGATTAATCGATGACAAGCAGGCCCTACTGTGGGAGTCGATGTTCCTAATAATTACCATAATCCTCCAAATAACTTAGCTTTTATATAGCAAGAAAGTGGACGAAATCATGTCAAAATTGAATGTAGGATAATGTTATAGTTTTAGTTCATGTTCATGAGCCTGGAATTATTGAATTTGAGAGTAATTTTGAGCTGAAAATATTATTTATTTATTTTTTTTACTTATTTATATGTATGTGTGGTTAACTCCTTCACAGATTTTAGGGGATATTGTTTAGATGATGATGTTGTTATCACATTGTGCAATTATAACCTTATCCTATATTTACATAATTTATTCTGGCTTTGGTAAGCATAACGAGCAAACTGCAAGCATGATTTGAATCTCTTCTAGTTTATTGCAAGTGCCATTTTTTAGACGAGTGACTAAAAAATTCCCTAGTGTCGGTTTGATTGAGAAAATACTTGAAAAAAACTTAAAGAAAGAATTTGAGCCAACTTTCTGTTAGGTCGATTTTATAAGCTATAGATTCTACAATTCTGATATTTGTTGGGAATCTCTGGTAATTGTATTTATGAGAAATTGCGTTTCACTTTTATTTTTTATTATAGTCGAACATTGCCCGTGTTCATTCATCTATTAATCGAGTAAAAATTTATGTTCGACTCAACCCATACTATACCAACTGTTATTCTTTCATGACATCACCTGTAAAAACCCTTAAAACTTCAGCAACAAAGTAAGGAGAACTAAGCATCAATACCAAAGCTTTGGCACCACAAATTTGAGTTGCTATAACTTTCATGTCACAGCATATGTCACAAGATAATCGTCAATACCAAAGCCTGTATCACTTCTAGCATCAAATGATAAACTTGTTAAAATTTTATGAGAACATCAACATGCTTCATTTTCATATCACTAAACCAGAATCAGTATGCACGTCGTGTCATTTCTAACAAGTAATAAAGATCTAATAAACTAAAGAAAATGCCGAAAACCAACCGAGCATCATGTTCACCCACAAAATGCGCCATTATCGAACATTATCTTATAGGGAAACATAAAAAGTAAAAAGATAATAACACCAGCTCACAACGAAATGAAAACATGGAACCTTTAGGTCCAAGTACAAGATAATCTTACAAAACACATAATCAGAATTCACGGGACAATCAACAACACCTAACCAATGCCTTAAGATATATAGCAAAGCTCAACTTCATATACACTCCCATCACCCAAAAAGTGACAACACCACACCCTGCAAAAGCATTAAACCCCAAATCTTGAGCATCTGCATCTTTTTCCCAAATGCAATCGCGATCCAATCGGACAGGGTCGCCGACCACTGCAGCTTTTTAATCTCGGCACGGGCCGAGTACACAAGCGGGTCAATCCCGTTGATCCCGACAATCATGGGAAGTTCCCACAATAGGGCCTACTCTGTTAGCTAGTGTTATATACTGAAAGCTTGGTTTTGCATGTTATTACACATTTGCCCTTTATAAATGAGAATCATGTTAGGTTAAACAAGTTCTACGTTTTGTTGTTCTGCACTTAGATAGAATGGGTCGTCATCGGGCGAACCGAAGATCATTCTATCAGTTACTTGCGAACAAGAATAGTTGTTCACACCCTAGATGGACATGAACACCCCATCCGAACGGTTGTAGTGTCAACTGGACAGTTTGTCTTGACTGATTAGTTGCACTAGTACATTTATGTATTGAACAGGATCCCAGAGAGGAGAAGTTCATTTCATACTGATCGTCGTAAATGAACTAGGCCTTGGTTAATTATTGCGTTCTCTTAACCCGTAAGATATTAAACAGGCAGATATATGTAGTACATATTACTTTTATTCACTTGGGTGAGGTTCAATTCGCTGGATTGATATTCCTACTGTTTGGGTAATATTACTATATATAAGATGTGTTGTTAGGATATTTACGGTCACCATGTGCGTTAGTTTGATGTCCCCAGAGTGAGTTCATGAAGGATTGTTATGCTAAACTCTGCAGGTGGATTAAGTTCCGGCATAATAAGAATGTGATGAACGAGCGCTATCTTCAGTAAAATAATAATAAATTAATTAATTATTGATTGTCAGTAATTGAATTAATTAATGGACATTATATTTAAACGTGAGGAGGTAAATCGAGTAATTATTATTGGAGTCTCAAATGTAATTTAGACTAGGAAAAGGGAGTGCAATAATATAATGTTGGTGGCCCATTAATATTATTTAATTAATTAAAAGAGTGAGTTTGGCCCATAGTTAGTCTAAGGGTCCCTACTGTAACTCTATATATACATCATTAAGCTAATGAGAAGAGAACACACATCTCACTCGATCGAGACACACGACCCGCCTCTCTCTCTCTCTCTCTCTCGGTTCTCATTCGAGCTTTATCTTCTTCTTGTTGCTTTACTAGTACAAGTTGAAGAGGTGTTTGAGTAATACAGTAGAAGATCCATAGGTTATCGAAACCCGGTGATCATCTACTTGCAGTTGACGAATCACGACCTGAAGGATGCGACTCGTCAACCGACCCAATGCTGCCAGTCCAGCCGGAGATCCGCCGCCAATCGCGACCAGCCGGTGACCCTCCCGGCGACCCGATCCGCGCAAATCGGCAAGCCCGCGCGACGCGACCCGATCGGCTCATCCCCGCGACACGGCCGATCTCGACCCACACAACCCACGTGAGCCCGAGACTTCCGTTCGTGTGATCTATCTGGTCGTGTGCTGTGTACGTCTATCCGTAATATCAGCCAGATCGCCAAAAATTTTAAGCCGTAAGTTCTCTACGTCAAACATTTAGATCCGTTGCGCATAAGTTTACGTTTGTTATTGAATTCGTGATTTGTACATAACGAGATCCTCAAATATCCCAACATACTCGTCTTCGATTAATCTCGGCACCCACCGACTATACCAGCATCGTGTCAATCCCGTTGGGCCCGGCAACCATAGGAAGCTCCCACAACATGGCCTGCTCGTCGTCCCCTACGGAGCATATGAGCCTGCAAGCTCTACTGAGCCCACGAGATGGCATTCACGCTAGTCGTGTGCCTCATCAGCTCAGCCACCGACACGAAATCACGAGTTTATCGTTGTCCATCAAGACAAATTAAAGTTAAAAATTACAAAATATTAAAAAAAAAATAGAAATTGCGATATAAAGTTCTTACCTTATACAATTTGAAGTTCAACAGATCGCTCGTTTTGATTTCCGGAAGGATTTACGTGAGCTAATTCTTCATTTGCTTGCAATCGGATGTTTTAAAAGTACCGCGATTGAAATTGAGAGGACAGAGGTTTTGTGAGTAACAAAAATAATCGTATGCGCTTTTTTCAAAAAAATTATAATAATATCATATCTAATTTAATTAATAGTTAACAGAGTTAATAATAAGCCTTAATTTAAAATTAAAAGATAAATATAAACCCTCCACGGATAATATATAAAAATTGAGATCTTGTATTGAGAAAGATATTAATTAGAGTCTTAACATGCTAGAATACCTACAAATTGAGCCTATAATAGAATTTTTCCTTTTATTATCAATTATGGTATCCTTACCAATTACCCACTCACACACATCCAATATGTTACTGTCACGTGGCCATTACCAACTCACCAGCCGACCAACTCTTTCTCTTCACACACTCACACACACAATAACACACATGCCGGCGTACACCAAAAACACACACCTACACACACAGGTCATCCCCTCTCCTCCAACCACCCACCGGCTCATCACCTACCGCCTCCCCAGTCATCGAACACAACGAATGCCGGCGATCCTCACTGCGACAAACTCCTCGCCAACGCCGCCCACGACGGCCAAATTGACTGTCAAACTCCTCGTCGACGTCGGCCCTCCATTCTCCGCTAGCAAGAAACTCCCGCCGGCGCTGCCCACGACGGCCAAATCCTTGTCATCCACCGTTCTCACCCCCTTGGATTCGCCGAACACGATCATCGACAACCATAAATTCGGTGATTTTATCCAAACCGGCAACCAGCCACGATTCCACAGGTGCTCCGGCGACGTCTGAAACCAAGGGCACTGCGACGACGAGACTAGTTTGAGGCGGGAGACGGCTGTCAGAGATTGAGGCGGCAGACTGACGGGAATCATTTTTTAGGGCATTGTTATGAAAATTTGATACTTTCTAGGGACCTTGGTGCAATTTTGAATGTGTTAATATATTTACAATATAATTAATGAGTTAAATTGCAATTAATTATCTAATAAATGCACATTAAAGTTAATTGAAATGCACATTGTAGAATGTGTATATATATATATATAAATATTAAATATTAAATATTAAAGTTAATAGTATTTATTTTTAACAACAAACAATATAAAATGTTAAATATTGATATCAAAATACCAAGTGTATTTTTATAATATGGCCAATTAAAAATATATACGAGGCAAGTGCACAATAATGTTATATGGGTTGCACACTGAAGAGTATCAGATCGCATAATATAGATAAAAATCGGCCAACTATAATGTTCACTTACAAAATTTATAATTTTTTTTATTATATATTTATTTTTTATTTTTTTTTAAATTGCGGTTATTTCAAATTGATGTCGCATTTTTTTATAAGTAACTAAAAAAAATTGAACAGATTGAATTATATTACAAAATCTTTTTTTATATATTATTATATAGTGCAAGTGCACATTATGGTTATTATAACTAAACATTAATAGCCATCAATTTGCACGATATCTAACTATATCGACCACTCTAAAATTTTTGGTTCGAAATTTTATATTTCGCTTCAATTATTTTATCTTTTAATTTTAAAAAAAAATCGATTATTTAAGTCCAACGACTGAACTTTATAAAAACTCGGTAATTTATGACATAACTTACAAATTATTTAGACTATTTAGGTTAGCTCTATAAAGCAATCAAATAAATTGATTATGATGTTAGTTCGATTGACACCAACTAATAAATAATAATTGCACTTTGAGTACACCTTAGTAATATACAGATTGCACATTATTGACAAATATAATGCATTGTAGCGGCTGAAACCAACCAAACTGAGTTTTTGGGTCCGAGTTTTATATTTTGATTCGGATATTATTTTTTACTTTTAATTTTTTTGTTATTTCGGTCCAATGTCAATTTTATTTGTTACAATAATCAAACCGACCCAATTATAAAATAAAAATATTGTTTTGTTATTTATATATTTTAGGTATTTACTACAAAAATAATATAAAACTTTGAAATAAAGCGGTAAATATTTGAATATACTTTTTATACCATAAATATAAATTGTTTCGACTAATTATGTTAATTTGGTTGACCAATCAAATAAACCAACTATCTCGTCTGGATTTAGTTTGGTTTGGGAAAGATATAAAAAATGTATGCAGTTTGGGTGCACTATAATGTTAGACTGATTGCAGGTTAATGTCTACTGGATTGCTCAATAACATCCTAAATCGACCGAATTAAAATTTTCGATTCGAACTGTTAAATTTCGATTAGATTATATATTTTTGTAAATACATAAAATATTGTACAATTTACTTATCAATATTGCATATTTACTATTTTTTAATAAGTTTGTATAAATATGACTATTTTTTTTGTGTGTGCCTGTATACAAACAATAATGTTACTTATATTAATGTTGTTCAATTTTAATTTTTTAACAATTGTAAATTTGACCCATATTCTGAATGGTAATATGATTAAACATTATTAATTTGCACATAGTTCCCTAGCATTATCTAATTTACCAAAAACAAGCCCCCAAATCCCAACCCCTTCAAAACCTCAGCCTTCCGTCAATCACCGGAAACCAGCCGCAGCTGCTCACGTACGCGACCATCGGTGCCTGCCGATGACCACCTGATCCAGCATTGCGGCGATGGCGGCCTGAAGTGAGATGCAAACCGGAATTTATTGGCTAACCGGTTTGTGCATCAAGAAGGATGAAAACGCCGGCGGACGGGAAGAAGATTTACGGCGGAATGTGGAATTCGGCGGCAGATTCAAACCAGGCTGGAGCTTTGTCGCCGGCTTTCTTCCGCCGTCTAACCAGTCTTTTCACGCCGGAGCAGATCGATAGCAGGGGACGATTGACGATGATCGAGATGCACAGATCGATATTAATGTTCGTCGTGATATCATCGAAGCTCGCCGGCGGGTGGAGGACGCAGCCGACGCCGGGAGATGAGGTATATATGAAGCGGGATTTTGCGGCAGAGATGTCAGGCTGAGAAAACAGAGTGTTGGTGCGAGGGAGATGCGGCGGGTGGTAGCGGGCGACGGCGAGCAGTGACGGACGACAACATACGGCGGTGGGTGGCAGTAATGGTGGCGGGCTGCATTTTTCGGTTGTGGAACGCAACAGACGAGACGAATTTCCAGATCTTGTGTGTGTGTGTGTGAGAGAGAAAAAAAAATGAGGAAAATTATGGTGGAGGTGGTGGGGCCCACTATATGGGTGGATGAGTTGTAATATTTTAGCCACCACTAAGTTGATATTTTAAACTATCAACTAAATTGATATTTTAAAATATGATGTTGTAGTAATTTTTATCGAAGTAGAATCGAAAGATTCGAATACCGGGTTGTTATTTAAGGAAGGTTAGCCGGATTAAATTGCGGGAATATTCAATCACAAAACAGAAAATAATCCTAACACTCTAATCAAATTGATTTGGTTTGATTATCAACTACGAATTAAAAAAACCTAATACTAGCTAATCAAATCTCACAACTCAAAACACGAATTCAAATAGTAATAAAGGAGGCTAGGGTATCGGGGATAATCGCTTTCGGTTCTCAAAACATTTCACGGGCAATCAATTACTCGGCTAAAGGTCTCGAAAAACTAACTCATCTAGAGATTCATTCAATATCTCACGAAACAAGAGAATAAACATAAACGAACAATTATCGAGTCAATTAGCACATAGGCAATACGTCACCGAACAAGCCTATTCAAAACGAGCCTAGATCGATCGATTTCTCCCCTTTCGGTTTTCAAATCGATTAATTAGATTGAGATGGTGATCAAGCATCTAAAATCCTATGTTAAACACAACTCGAAAGGATTGAACAATTATCAAGCATGTAAACGAGATCGAATCGGAACGACAATTCCCTAACCCTAGCTAGAGAATTTTGCTACTCATAGTGACCTCAACACAAACATTCATACCAAACAAAGTCATGACATTCATGAATGAGACGAAAATAGAAGCTTACGATTAATACGAAGGTTCAATGTCAAAATCCGAGTGCAAAACGAATCCGAAAATAACAATTTGGAGTTTTTCACTCTCCAAGATGGATTCCTACCAAAAACAAGAGAAATATACGTTCTCCAGTTCAAAAGTACGAGAGAGAGCTAAAACCTAGAAAAAACATAATGAAAAACGAATCTGAAATCTGAGTTTAAAATTCTGCACGTCGCGGCCTCCGCGGCCGCGGAGAATCCCACGGGCCGCGGTGAAGAAAGCTCGCAGCCGCGACCATCCTCGAGGCCGCGGCATCATCTGGACAGAAGTGGGACTTTTGGGACCCTCGCGGCCGCGATGTCTCCTCCGCGGCCGCGGCGACTAAAACTGGGCGTCGATAGGCTTTTCTTCACCGCGGCCGCGAGGAGACAGTCGCGGGCCGCGGTGAAGGATTTCCTGCACAGCAAAATGTTCTCGGGTTTGTGTTCTCGCATCTGGACTCGGAATCTAATCCCGTCATTTCCAATTCGACCCCAACTCATCCATCTAGATAGTAATCCTCGCATGGCTACGCACCGTGCTTCCTATCCTGCACATCACCATCGATAAGAAAAATACGAAAAACTAGAAAAAACGAACAAAAAAGACCAAAAACGAATAAAACAGGGGAAATGCACGAAACGACTCAAAATGGACCAAGAAACAAAGAAAAATACATAAGGAGGGAAAAAAAAATAAACATAAAGTAAACAAGAAGAACATGACGAAAATGGAACGAACAACTCCCCCACATTAAAACCTTTGTTCGTCCCGAACACAAAACAAAAGAAAAGAGAAAGAAAAGAAAATAAAAGAACACAAAACAAGCAAACGAGAGTGGACAATGGTTTCAAACAAGAAAAGTCTCAAATTGATCAACTAAGTTGAAAAGAATTCCGATGACCACGAGAACACACCTTGACCATGAACTCAATCACTTGATGACACTAACTCTCGAGCATGGAGATATGATATAAATGTCTCACTCAATTTCTTCCAAAATTAAAAGACAAGAGCACTCAAATTGGTCGTCAGTCAAATCAATCATATGCTTGCCTATCGTCTAACCTCTACTCTAAATCAATCAAATTAATGAGACAGTGAATCAAGAGGACTTCTAGGGATGTAATGTAGGCTTAATGGATCGGGTAAGATAAATATAGGTCAAATGGCTCAAATATAGAACATCACAACTCAAACACTCAACCATATCAACAACTCCTCCGGTCTCAACCGGTTTCTCCAACCTTCACCACAGCCAACATGCTTCCACATTATTATAACCCTTTTTTTTTAGAGAACCTTACGAACATTTTATCTAGGTTTAGCCATTGGGTTTCCTGCCCGAGTCTCCTAGACCAGTTTCCTGTACTCGTCGATGCCACAATTCACAATTGCGACAATCATCACCACCCATTTTCCCAACAGCATCAACACGGGGTCAACAACGAAAATAAGAATTACGGCTCAAAGGGGTGACTAGCGAAAATTATTCTCGAATGAAGAAAAATGATACACAAATAACAAAGAATGCCTCAATCATGTTCACCTATCACGAATCCAATCGACTTATTTCAAAACAGACTCAAGGCAAGTTCTGATTTATCAACATTCAGACCAATATCTCACAAGAAATGAATACGGCTCAAATCTCACCGGGTATATATATATATATATATATATATGAGTGATAATCAAAGCAACCCAGCCACACATCAAAATATGCTACTCAAGATCATCATCACATCTTCCCAACTTCATCAAACAACCATAAACCAATCTCGAAATTTACCAATGTCCATCTCAAAAGAACAAATAAACCTAAACTAGACTGGTCCACGCAACAGAAAAGAAATAAAAACAATCCTAAAAGAAAACCTAGACATGATCCACCACATAGTCACATACGTAAAACTCCCCCATACTGAAAATCAGACAATGTCCCCATTGTTGAGTCGCGGAGAAGGAGAGTTAGACCATATAATAAACCAACGCAAAGACAAAGAAGCTATACACAAATAAAAGAGAAAGAGAAAAAGAGAACATACAAAGCACAGTGATAAGTCACTGTGCAGCCAGAGGTGATTGTGGCGGGTAAGGCTGACTGGGTCCCGGGTTCCAGCGGGTGTCCCACTGAGTGAATCTCTGATCCCAACCGTCCATCCGAGCATTCTACTGGTCCTGCCGCTCGCGAATGGATCGGAGACCGCCAGCAAAGCTATCGAAGTGTGTGCCCATCTGAGTCCAGTGGGTCTGCTGCTGGGTCTCCCAATGGTCCCACTGAGTCTTCTGTCAGGTCTCCCAGCTGGTCCACTGTGTGTTCTGTCGGCTCTCGAGATCGGCCCATCTGTTGTCCTGGGCATCAAAACGATCGTGGATAGAGCAGATGTCGACTGTATACTGAGTCTGAAATGAAGTCCACCATTCTGGTGGCTCTACGAAGGAAACTCGGGCTGTGGGTTCGGGGCCGGTGTCCACGTTGGTGGAGGTGGAAGGAAATGGGCGTCATCGACGTTCATCTGCGCATGCTCGTCTCCTGCTGTCGGTGGCCGAGACGACCCTGCCTGATCGGAGTTAGGCTGATTCTGCTGGAGCTTTTTAAAATAGGTGTCGTAAGCATTACGCTTCGTATACTCCTTAGCTGTTGTCCGGTCCTTAATAAGGTCAGCCTGCTTGAGCTCATTATAATTGGTACATCGCATCTCAGTCCTGTCTTGAAGCCCAATCTCCCCATGTAAACGGTAGGCTTCTGGAGTGATTTCGAAGTGGCGGGCGAGTGCGGTAACAAAATGCCCAAGTGCCGGTATTCCACGCCGAGTGAGGGCAATCTCCTGTAAGGTGTTCTGTAGGAAGGTCATAGAACACACTCGCACTCCTACCCGCATCGCCCATAGGAGAAAAAGCTCGACCTCACTGACTTTATTCGCCTCTTTTTTTCTGGAAATATTATAGCAGATGAACCGATGCACAACGGCAGTGGCCAGGTCCTGGATAAGCCCGTTAGACATGCTGGCAGAATCCCAAGTCGTATGCGGGGAAATCTCGGCCCAACTCCTCTTGGCGTCGAAGTCGATGGCCTTGCTTCTCTTACCGGCCATGGTGAACCCGCAAACTTTCTTCATCATGGCATTGTCCACCGTGAGATCCTTCCCCTTAAGCCGACAAGTGAAGTATTCGTTCCCATCGGCGAGAACGAATGAGTTGAAGAACTCAAGCATAAGGATTCGATGCGACATCTCCTCAATTTTGGCATACTCGGTTAAGTTTAAGACCTTGAGGTACTTCATCACGTCCTCCAGAATACCCAAGTCGTTCAAGAGGTCCCAATCCACTGCCTTCGGTCTCACTACCTTTTTTTGCGAGAGACGGGCATAAATTTCGCCCTCCTTTCTAAAATAAACCGGGAACGGAGCACCATATTGGTCCGAAAGGTCATCTCGTTCACCTTCCGGAGGGGCAACTTGGGAGGAGGATTCGCCGGCTTTGCGCTTCTTAGCCAGTTCTTGAGTGGTGTTCTTCTTAGTGGGACGCATCGGAGTCTTGCCCATTTGAACGGTCTCTCGGGCAATATGTCGAACACCTTGAGTGCACAAGTTTGAAGTTGAAGCTATGAATCAATGAACAATGGTGGAACCCAATATGATCCTCTTAAATCTCAATTCACATCAACAACCCCCCCAACACTATACTTTTGAACAAAACAAAATCAATAATCTCAGTTACCGGAAGTCCCTAATGCCCGTGAGAAGGTGTTGAAGTTGAAGACGAAGAGGTGACGAGGTGAGGTGTTGCCGGTGTGTTGCTAGTGGCCGGAGGGGACGGACACAGGAGGAACTCGCCGGAGAGACGACGGCGATGGTGAAAAACTCGAGCCTGTGAGGAGAACTAGGGTTCCCGAACTCAAACTCGAACTAGCCGGTAAAATTCCTTGCAAGAAATCACGGAATGAAAAGCTTTTGATTGTGATGACAACTTGCTGAAATGATTCAAGGATTCATGAGAGATTTATATTGGTAGGGTAAATTTCTCCGTGAGAAAACCGGTCTCAAGAAATTGAAATGGAAAAGAATGCCCGACAATTTCCAGAAAAGTGCCCTTTAATCGCGTTCGCCGCGGCTGCGACTTCCCCCGCGGCCGCGAGATTTTGTAAGCCGGAAATGGGAATTTGCGAACTAAACATCGCCGCGGCCGCGGAGAAGAACTGCTTCGCGGCCACGAGGAAACTCCGAGGCCTCGAGATTTCTCCTGCAGAAGTTGTTATCTGGGGCACAAAATAATACTCGCCGCGGCCGCGGCTAAGAAAACCCCCGCGGCCCGCGGTGATAATTTTTTTTTTTATATATATATAAATAGAAATATAAATAAATAAATAAATATACATATATATATATATACAAAAAGTACAAAAATGCTCAGTTTAAAGCCGGAAGCTCGGCACCATTCGGAATCAAGGATACAGTGGGTCGCCGAGACTGATGGTCTCGACATGTTGCTTCCCGAATTCTCCTTCAAACTACGGCTTCACCCGCTGTCCATTGACTATAAACACTTCATCATTCGCCCGATTTCGGAGTCGGACAGCCCCAAAAGATAACACTTCATCGACAAGGTATGAGCCACTCCATCTTTACTTGAGCTTTCCCGGAAAGAGACGGAGTCGGGAGTTGAATAAGATAACTTTCATACCGAGCACTAGTTTCTTTCGGACAATGGTCGAGTCGTGAAGCTTCTTGATCTTGTCCTTGTAGATTTTGGAGTTCTCGTAAGCCTCGTTCCTCAACTTCTCAAGTTCTGACAGTTGCCATGTTCGCTCCCGTCCGGCTGCCTCAATATCAAGATTCATCTGTTTAATTGCCCAAAAAGCCTTGTGCTCGATCTCGACCGGAAGGTGGCACGCCTTCCCGTAGACGAGCCAGAATGGGCTCATCCCCAAGACTCCCTTGTAAGCTGTGCGTTGGGCCCATAGTGTATCATCAAGACGACTGGACCAATCTTTCCTGGACGAGTTCACCGTCTTCTCAAGAATGGTCTTGATCTGCTTGTTACTCGTTTCTGTCTAGCCCGAAGTTTGTAGGTGGTATGGTGTGGCGACCTTGTGTGAAATGTCGTATTTCTTCATCAGTTTCTCAAAAATTCGGTTACAAAAGTGTTTGCCTCCATCGCTCACAATAACTCGTGGGAATCCGAACCTACTCAACACATGACCCTGCAAAAACTTGATGACCACTTTAGCATCACATGACCTTGTGGGGATAGCCTCAACCCACTTGGACACGTAATCTACGGCAAGAAGAATGTACTCAAAACCAAAAGATTTGGGAAACGGACCCATAAAATCAATGCCCCATACATCAAAGGTTTCAACTTGAAGATTGTTAACTAAAGGCATTTCATTCCTTGGGCCAATATTCCCAATTCTTTGACAACGGTCACAAGATTTGCAAAAAGTATAAGCATCTTTAAAAAGGGTCGGCCAGAATAAACCTGATTGCAGGACCTTAAGGACGGTCTTTCGACCTCCAAAATGTCCCCCACACTGATGTTCATGGCATAAAGCAAGGGCATCCGATTGCTCCTCTACGGGCACACACCTCCGAAGGATCTCATCTTTTTCCATCTTAAAAAGGAATGGGTCGTCCAAAAAGTAACTCCTGCACATCAACACAAAACGCCTCCTCTCTTGGGAAGAGAGGTTAGACAACAAGACTCCATCCGACAAATAATTGAAAATATCTGCATACCAAGGAACACTGACAACTTCGCTCACATGTTCGTATGGAAAACTATCATCTATACCAGCATGCTCATGCAAAGTAAGTGAATGATCAGTAGGGACAATGCAAGAGAGATGATTAACAACCACATTTTCACATCCTTTCCTATCACGAATTTCTACATCAAACTCTTGCAACAATAAAATCCACCGAATGAGTCTAGGTTTCGATTGAGTTTTACTCAAAAGATACCTCAATGCAGCATGGTTAGAATGGACAATCACTTTAGATCCTAAAATGTAAGACCTAAACTTTTCTAGAGAAAAAATAACAGCCAAAAGCTCTTTCTCAGTGGTGGTATAGTTTAATTGGGCACCATTTAGAGTCAAACTAGCATAATAAATTACACGAAGCAATTTATCAACTCGTTGGCCCAAAACGGCTCCAACAGCAAGGTTCGAAGCATCACACATAATCTCAAAAGGCAACGACCAATCAGGAGCAATAACAATAGGTGCAGTCACAAGCTTATTTTTCAACTTATCAAAGGCATCTACACATGCATTATCAAACAAATGGCACATCATTAGCAAGCAAGTGACACAAGA